AAAAAAAAACAACAAAATTTATTAATACATGACAAATATTTGTAAAAAAAAATAAATAAACAAATAAGAGAATTAATTTGTACTAAAATGTAAAATGTAATAATTCAAGCAATCAGTTTTTTATTTTCTGTAGACTTTTAGAAGCACTTCATTTAGTTAAATTTCAGAAATTAGTTTGCAATAAAAATCCGAAAAACTGCATTCAACTGCAGCTGTAGCAAAGCTTGCTAAACCTTCAAGCCCAACAAGCCATTATAAAATTGGGTATATAGTAAAGGCAGCTCACATCGACCATTAGGGCGGATAGAGATTCTGCTATAGATACAGATACAGACACAGATACACATACAGATAGATAAACACAACCAGTCACGCATTGTGTTGACTTATGAATGTGAGACAGTGGGCTCAGGAGACGGAGGGAGCATTTGCCATAAGCTTAAGAATACGTGAGGGGGTAATGCGACATTAATAAACCGTACTTCTGTTTGCGCAATTACGTGCACTTGCTGGGCTGCAGTAGGCACGTGATTCTGTTTATATCCGACGGCTGCACGGCTTAAGCAACGGCAAAGGCAACGACTACAACTACTACTACAACTACAAATACGGCACTAAGCCAGTCACAATATTGCCGTTGCTCCTGCAGACAGGCAACAATTTTTCGCACTTAACGAGCGTCGGGCTTAATCGCCGGAGAAGTGCTGCTTGGCTCGGCTGGGCTGGGATCAGCTGGCAAGGGGCCAGCAAAGTGCAATTTCCTGCTGTCAAATGGCCAGGTGGCAGAGAGATGCAGTAAAAATGCTCAGCGGCTACGACTGTGGCTGTCAAGGGGTGTCGAAAGTGTCATGCAAACGAGTCGAGACACAACATAAGAACTACAGTAAACACCCACACGAATGTCTGTCGCCAACGACAGCAACAGCAACAATAGCAGCCAAAATGGCCATTGAACTTACCCTGCTTGTAGGTGCAGAAGGCAAGGTATTCCAGGACATCGGCACGTGTGAAGCTTTGCGTTTGATTATGCGGCTCCTCCAGCATGCGGGCCATGGCCTCGTTCATCCAGAGCACCGTGTGGTAGTAGTCCCGATTAACGTACGACTGGCGGCCCAACTCGAAGCAGTCATCCGACGACATTGCCGTGCTGTGTAATATTGCAAGCCCCCGGCAGTTTAGTCCCCATCCAAGTTATTTCACTTTTACATTTGCCTACACTCACCTGTACTGTATGCCGTTCAGTTTGCCACGTGCTAGACTAGACGTGTCCAGCTGGTAGGTGTCCTGCAGGCGGAGCAGCGCCACAGCCGCCCCATTGAGGTCCTCGTCCGAGGGAAACTTCAGTACATTGCGATATTGCGTGAGGTTCTGCACAAAATCTTTTGAGTGGAGCAAAGCAAACAAATCAAATTCAAATCGGATTACAAAGTTTCTCCCAGTTCGAGATAACCCACCTGCGCCCACTTCGTGTGCCATCAGATTCTCCACCTGCCGCCAGTCTGTGGTCAGACGCTTGGTCAGTAAATACGCATTGATTGGATTCGATACGTAGGCAGTTATATCGCTGGCTGCATCTGCATGCTCTCTTTGGTATTCATCCATTTTGCTAGAGTGCAGAAAGAGAGAGAAAGAGAGCGAGAGAGAGAGTTACAAAGTTTTATACAAAGTTTAATAAGCAATTTAATTACGTTCAAGCCATTGCAAACTTAATTACGGCTACATCTGTCTCGTAACGCCCTCGAAGCTTGCCACAAACTGCACTGCAGCTCGGGCGTAAATCAAACAAACACTTTGTAAAGTTGATGCTGCAAAATGTTCGTTTTATTTATAATTAATGAAATTAAAGCTGAGTACACTCCAAAAGTTTTTTTTAATTTTATGAAGCCAGCCAGACTGCAAAAAGTTTTGTATTTAATATTTATTTTTCTCCATCAATGAAACTTAAAGCCCAGCCGAAGCCCCGCTCTAAAAACTTTTTGGCTCACTGCAAAAGTTTTATGGAGGTCAAAGCAACATAAAGAAAAAAAAACATTAAATGTCTCCGAATTCGTTAGATACAGCATTGCAATAGCAAAATTATATTTATTGATTTATTTCAATTTCGGTATCATGTGACAAATCAAAGTGAAATGCGAGCCCTGAGGCGGGCACRGAATTTCTCATAATCGTAATATAAGCTCCTTGTCAGGGAATTAAAAAAAAATATATATATAAGTTTCTTTTTTTTATCGAAGTAAACAAGTAAGAGTGCTCTAGAGTGACCGACTCTTCATGCTGCCTCTGTTTGTACGCAGCATCTGTGTTTGAGCTGCACTTGTGGGCTTTACTATGCCAAAATATTTATTCAATTCCTATTGCTTAAATGGAACTCTCTGATACAAGTTTTTCGAGTGTAATATCAATTTTAGTATGAGGAAATGAAATACAGAAATATACATTTAAAATTTAAAGTCTCTTTAGCCTTTATGATGTACGGACAAACACGGCTAGATCTACACAGCCTTCAACTGTTCTTGCTATAAACATTTTAATAAATAA